TTTCTTATTACTTTCTACATTACTTTTTATGTTTCTCAATTACATCTGCATATCTCAATTGTATAGATGAAGAAAATGAGGCTTAATGAAGTTAAACAGTTCTGCTTACAATTTACATCTGACCAACTCATGTTTTTTCTTGAACATTTCTACTTCTTTTTGTGTTGCCCTGATTCTAAACTTTTACTCAAAAGACTCCTGATATTTCTTTCATCAATTATGATTTTACATTTTATTGAAAACATTCTAAATATTTATATGCAACAAGAAACATTATCTTTTTCCTGACACTACTTTTTTAACCACTTGAATTGACTTAGGTTTTTAAAACATCTACTCAAACCAGTTATAAAAATTAAGGATGAGATATTTAAGAGCTATTTTAGATTAAATTGCTATTATAACCTAGAAAATAAGCAAACATTTTGGCTGAAAAAAAATCCATTTATAAATCTAAAAAAATAACTTCAAAATAACTAGAATTCAAGAACTGTCCAAGTGTAATCAGAGGATTTGATATCATCTCAACTTAAGTAACTTCTATTATTTGTCAATATTCATAATAGTCCTTCTTATTTTGTGCTCTATGATTTCCACAATCTCTTTTCTATGCTACATGGCTCTCAAATATGGAATCTTCTATTAGGTTGAGAGAGTTTAGAATATCTTGGTTCTGGCATCCACGTGGTGTTTCAGCTCTTGAAAAATCATTTAGATCATTTTGATCTCACTTTCTTTTTGTTTGGTTTTTTACTTCTATTTTAACCACTTAGAATTAATTCACAAACAGTAAAGTAGATTCACTTAGAGTATAAAGTACAAAGATTTTTGGAATTTTCATAAATCTGAACAGTCATCATCACAGTCAAGAATATTTTAATCACACAAAAAGCCATTACCCTGCAGCTGTCCCTGTCCTTTAAATAGCAGAGGCATATATTCCTCAAGTACTATCTACTTCTAAATTGTTCTGTAGTCTACCAATATGTCATCTTGAAACAAATTTTTTCTAAATAAGTATATTTGGAAAATTAGCATTATGAAACTAGGAATTTGAATTTATTTTCAGAAAATGAAATAGCTCAATAGATCATTCAAAATTTATTGCTATCTAGTCAGTTCTGACTGTTAGCAATCTATTGCTATCTAGTCAGTTCTGACTGTTAGCAATCATATGTGTCAAAGGAAAACAGTAGTAGAGTTTCTGAAGATATAAGCATTTGCAGAAGCCACATCAGAGTGGGTGATGAATTCACATTGCCAACCACACATTTATCAGATAAGCACTTAACCACTGTGCCCCATATGGCTCTTTAAAGAATGCCCTGAGTATAGGGCATTTTAAGCCTCATAATTACTTTTCTTTGCTTTTTTTTAAATGAGAGTCAGGCAAATTTTTTTGATGTAGAAGTAATAGTTGGAATAAACTGAGATTTGTAAATTTTAGTAAAATAATAAAATTGTTTTCTCACAATATGATAAAAGGAGGAATATATACAACCATGAATTAATTAAAAAAATAAAATAAATGTTTGTTTGTCATTTAAAGTTTCCAGTACTTTAAGTAATACAGGGTTTGGATCCACTGGAGTTGATGGTCTCTAAAAGATGGCACAGGATAGGGCAGGGTTCAGATCTATTGTTCACAATGCTGTTATAAGTCACACTTCATTCAACAACATGTTACAACAATACCACAATGAATGCATACTACAGAAACATATATTTTAAAAACAGGTGATCAGAAAACCAAATATGACTGTTATATTAGATACATTCTAAGGATGACGGTGTGCAGCTCCACTTCCCCATAGCTGGAAAATAATTGTCCTTGACAATGAATTTTTTCTATTCAACATTCCCTTTTACTCTGAATTATTGTCTCAAGCCTAAAACATAAATTTCCTTCAGAAATCTTTTATTTAATCATGCAACAAGTAGCCAAATTGGCCACTAAGTTTAACTCAGATATATTTCTTATAATCATGTTTTATAGAATGTTGTCTGTAAAGTTTATACGAGCATTGCATTTCTGTGAGATCTTCTAAAACATGCATCTTCAAATATAATTAAGCATACAACCTTCTGTCTTCTTTGCCTTCAGAAAAGTAAATAATTGTCTATTTGGTAAATTTGTTGCAACATGTGAAATAGAAAGAACAGAAATTATTAAATGTTATGTAATTTTTCAAAATTTCAAAATTTACTTGAATTGTCCTTTTTAAAATATAATGTAAAAGCATGTGTAGGGTAATCTAACTTATTATTTTTTTTTTTTTTTAGTTTCAAGGTAATCTAACTTATATTGATTGATTCAGCAAAACCCCTTAACAGTGTTTACGTATCTTGTAAAGGACAATACAAACTAAATATACTGAAGACTAGAATTTAATAAGTTGATGCATTTTACATGTATTTTAATATCCTAAACTTTCTTTACCTATGGTTTAGAGGAAGTAGCTTAGATCAGGATGGAAAAAGTTGAATTAAAAAATATGCAGAAAGAAAGAGGCTTAAACTATTAAGTAAATTAAAACAGATGGATGCAACACTGCCAGCTTCACTCATATATGCATAAATGTTTGGATATAGCTATGTGCTACTCTGCCAAGTGACTGGAAGAATCCATATTAGTATCTATTCCACCACTTGGCCAATTGGCAGCACCCTGATTGATGGAGAAGAAATTGAAGTTGTTAGCAGTTATAGTTTGCTTGGCTCCACAATAAACACTCTTGGTACGGTACCAGCAGTCAGGAAATCAAAAGGTGAATTGCATTAGATAAATCTGCTGTCAGGGAGCTTTCCAGAGTATTGAGAAGCAATGATTTCAGTCTAGAGACTAAGGCATGTCTAATCCATTCCATGGTCTTTCCAATTACTTCATATGCATCAGAGAGAAGGATAATGACTAAGGATGACAGAACAATCAATGCCTTTGAATTGTGGTTCTGAAGAAGAGTCTTGAATATACCATGGACCACCAAGAAAACAAATAGGTCTGTCTTGGAAAGGGTGAAACCAAGTTTTTCCTTGGAGGCTAGTATTTTGAAGATCCATCTCACATATTTTGGGCAGGTGGCAAGGAGGAACTGATCCTTTGAGAAGGACATTATGCTCAGAAGAGTGGATGAACAGTGCAGGAGAGGAAGACCCAGATGAGATGTATTGATACAGTGCCTGGGGCAATTGAGGAAGGTGTGCTGGCATCAGTGAGACTGGCTCAGGACAGAGCAGGCTTCAGAACAATTGTACTCAAGGTGATTTAACGGCACATAACAGACACATATTCCAAAAATGAAATATTTAGTAGAGTACAGAAGTTATTGAACAATATAACCAATCACATATAAGTAAAATTTTGCTGGTGATATCGTTAAAAAGGTTGCAGCAATATATTAACAAAGCTCTGTCAGAAAATAGTAGAATTAAGAACAAGATTCTGAATAAAGGAAATCATCACTGATGCCAAATAGATGTTGGCTGAAACCAGAGATTACTAAAATAATGTTTCCTGTGCTTTGTTTAATATGCAAATGCATTAGATATCTTTCTATAGCCACTTATGGATAACATTGGGAGAAATGGGGATTTTCGACCACTTGATTTGAACACATACATAGACAAAGATTCTACCATGTATTGTACCAGAAAAATATGCATCAAAGTGTTTTTTTCGTTTTGTTTTGTTTTGTTCTGTTTTTTTTTTTTGTTGTTGTTTTTAATCCTTCTTGAATTGGAGAAGTTGGATTCTGGAGGATAAATTGTTTTGATTTACTTAAAAGATGAGTATAATCTGGTCATTTTTAAATTTTGTTAACAATCAAAAGTTATTTGATTGGCCGTTTTGATTTTGTTAACAATAATCTTTGGTGGGAAGCCTCTTGTTTAAGCAATCAGGACCTGATGTATGCGCCTTTGTCCTTAAAAGTCAGTTGGGTCCTGCCTCAGAGTCTCCAACTTGGAGCGGTTGGATTCTGGAAATTTATTTTTTACTAAAACAACAAAAAATTCTCAATATTGTTCTCTTCATAATAGAGAGAGCATCTAAAATATATCCTGGTTATAAATTAGGATTCTTAGAAGACCTGCCGAAAGAGTCACTGTTAATTAGAGATAGAGTTGAAACTAACCCTAGCATTTAGTAAGTGAACTTGGAATTAGGATTTCAAACCACACTGAGGCTCCTGCTTCGTTTCATTGGATTTAGCTGACCCAGAGAGATTATAATCTTCTACAACATATTAAATGAAGAAAAGGAAATGCACTATTAACCTAATTTAAAAAAAAAAAACAACAAAATATCTGCAACTACCAAGATCACATTTAAGCTTTTCCAAATCCTGTAGTAACCATTAGCACCTGCAATGTACTCAGGATGGAATTATAGCTTGAATAAATTGTGAGAATGACTTTAATTTAAATGGAGTGTGTAATATATGCTGTAAGACTGTGAAGAGAAACTATTCTTTCAGTGCTGAGACTGATAAGGTATCAAGTAAATTCAAAATTTAATATGCGATAAGACAACTCCATGACATATTCTCACTATATAAAAGTCCATGTCATTGTTTAAAAAAGAAAAAATGTATGGCCACGAGGATGGGATATCACTTAGTTACGTGTTATTTCTAGTGTATGTTCTTGATATTATAGAATAATATATACTGGTTAAATAAATCCAAATTTATTAAAGAGGTGTTTTTGTATCAGATTTGTCATTAGATTTTTTGACTGTTTCTTCTTTGGATACTGATTGTAGATCAAAGAGAATCAGACAAACAATCCTGTCATTCTCATTATAAAATATTTCACTAAGTATTTGTAAAATCAAAGGTATACTATAAAATTAAATACAGTTTAACACGATAAAAAGAAGTATAATATTTCATTTTAGTATATTATACATTATTCATAATATCCTGTCAATTTGTCATCCAAATTTGTTTTCTTTTCAGATACATAATCATTTGATTATGTAATACATCAAACTGATATGTATGGAAAGTCAGAGAAATATCTCCGAATTCATTCTTTTGGGACTTTCTTACAACAAGAACGTACAAGCATTTTGTTTCATTCTTTTCTTATTCTGTTATGTTTCCCTGTTAGCAGGAAACCTTATAATCCTTGTTTCCATTCTGAATAGCTCTCTTTTTCACCAACCAATGTACTATTTCCTTAGTCAGTTAGCCATTCTCGACATATGTTTTACATCTAGTGTCACACCCAAACTGATTGGCGATCTGTTATTGGAGAAGAAATCCATAAGCTATGGCAATTGCATGTTACAAGTATTCACCATGCACTTCTTTGGTAGTATTGAGATCTTCATTCTCACAGCCATGGCCTTCGATCGCTATGTTGCCATCTGCAAACCTCTCCACTACATGATTATCATGAACAGGACGAGATGTAACCTTTTCGTCTTTGCTGCTTGGGCTGGTGGGGCTGCCCATTCCTTTCCTCAATTAGTTATGGCAATTCTGTTACCCTATTGTGGTCCTAATGAAATCGATCACTATTTCTGTGATATCTTTCCTTTGCTAAAAGTAGCCTGTACTGATACTTACATCATTGGTATTCTTGTGCTTGTCAATTCTGGTGTTGTTGTCTTGACTACCTGTGTCCTCCTGTTTGGGTCGTACATTTTTATATTATTCACCTTAAGAAATCACTCCGCTGAGGGAAGACGCAAAGCACTGTCTACCTGTGGCTCTCATATTTCTGTGTTGATCTTATTTTTTGCTCCTGCAATTTTTGCCTACCTTAGACCTCCCAGTACTTTCCCTGAGGATAAAGTATTAGCCTTATTTTATACAATCATTGCTCCTATGTTCAATCCCTTAATCTATACTTTGAGAAATACAGAAATGAAAAATGCCATGAGAAAAGTTTGGTGTCAAAGTTATTTTCAAAGGAAACACACAAAGAATTGATGCATCTTATTATCTAAATAAATTTGTAAAGGACACTTGTTGTTGATTGTCATCAAGTCAAGCACGACTCATAGGGACTCTAATAAAAGATTGTGTACCAATGAGGG